TTTGTGTCAGAGAAGCGATATTTTTATAAAGAGATGATCTGGCTTTGTGTCTTCTGCTCGAATGAATGTTTTTCTGTTAGAATTTTGTTCCTGTACACTAAAAATGAACTGTCTTCACCCGTGGTCTCAGCTTTTCGGAATTTTTCCCGATATAATTTTGTATCTGATAATTAAACATGATACATCAATATTGTCATCATCATTTTCTGACTAAAAAAACAACTATTTTTGCCCAGAACCTGTCAATTTTATTTTTTATTGGCTGAAAATCCGATAAATATATTTTCCAGATTTTTCTCTATGTCCTGTCAAAACACGTTTTACATGTACATTAGGTCAGCTGATATTACCTCCCATCTTCACCGCTAGAGGCGCTGCTTGCGAGCGAAAAGGCAAATTTGCAACGCAATTTGCAAATAACTTGAAGAATATTCGGGATAGAGACCTGAAAGTTTCACTATAAGTTTTTCCAGATTCTACTCTATATACTGTTAAAATTTCAGTCAGATTAGTTACGTATTGTGGACGTGTATAGCCGACATAGATACCCAAATACATACATACATACACCGACTTTTATATATATATATATATAGGGATATATATACCCGCCGGAAATACAAGGACCAAGAAGTTTGAACAGACTTCCATTTATAAGTAGGAAATAATATCTATAGATATCTATAGAATCTATAGATAAGAAATAAACTAATTACACGAATTATATAAAAGACGTACCTGGATCTGTAAAGAATTTTTTTTCTTCTTTACAGATCCATGTACGCCCTTTTATATAATCTTAATTGATGGATCGCCTTTTGACTAAAATTACACGAATGTTTCTTTAACACCAATACAACTAACTATCCAATGTGAAGAAAATAGTACAAGAGAGTGAAATTGTACTGGAGATCAGGTAGATAAATTAAGAAAGGTTTCTCCTGATCGCGCAACTAAAAGTTTGCCTTTTTCTTAACCTATTCAAAGTCCTTGTGTTCGCGTTAACTACCGAGCTCAAATTCTATGAGCTAAGGTACTGCGATGAATAATTTGAATTGTTTCTGTAGAATTGAGTAAAGGAAACTCCACGCAAATTGATCAAGGAACCTTTGAATTTAATGGTCTTTGAATAAGCTACATGAATTTTATGGCTGATTTAAACTAGACTGACTAAACACTAAGCAAAACACACAATATATAGACAACACACTTTTGTCGAATCAATGAAAATATATACAGATTAAAATAAAATAATAAAGAATTAATTATTTAAAACAATGAATTATATAAATTAACATTAAAGAATAGAATAACATCAATGAATAATATTTAACAACAATTTATACAATAATTAACAATTAATAACAAATAAGAATAAAACATACATTTTTAACCAAACAGTCCTTACTGTGATTAAAATATTGGAAGGACCCTACACATGGCCTTCTAATATTCAGTAAGGACAGTACGTATTTGTAAAGATAGAGGCTGTCTGTCCGGCATTCATATTTCTTGAAAATAAAGATACTTCGACCAGTGAATCTTTTTTCTCGCGTGAGAACGCCCTTGGGGCCTTAGAATCATTTTAACGCCTTTCCAAAAAGGTATTAAGAACATTTACCGGACGAAGTATTTTTATTTTCAAGAAGTACGTATTTGGTTTACTTAAAGAAAAACAAACGCTCAATGATTTTATCCCTATATATATATAAAAGTCAGTTTATGTATGTATGTATGTTTATATGTATGTATGTTTATCGGCTATACACGTTCACAATACGTAACTAATCATGTCTGAAATTTTAACAGTATATAAAGTTGAATCTGGAAAAACATATAGTGAAAAATTTAAGGTCTCTATCCCGAATATTTGTCGAGTTATTATTTGCGTTGCAAATTTGCCCTTTCGCTTGCGAGCAGCGCCTCTAGTGGTGAAGATTAGAGGTAATATCAGCTGACCTAATGTACATGTAAAGTTTGGAGCGGGATGTTTCACAAGAGTGACATACAAGGTGCCAATTTATAATTGTAACGAATAGTATTTGAATAAAAACATTTAAAGGGGTAAAACCCGAGCGTTGCCCGGGTCATTCGGCTAGTTTCTTATAAAAGTTCCATATTTGTTGAAAGAGCGATTGGAATCGACTCATTGCCATAATGAAGGAACACAACTTTGAAACCCGTTTGGAACTGTCAACGAAGAGTTGCCACACCCAGTGGAGGAATACTCAGAAAGACCCATTTCCAGCAGTTGGCCATAATGTAATAAAAACATATAATAAAGTATTATTGAGACAGTCACATCTAAGGCATGGCGAAGTTCAATTTCTTATCTAATTTCCTCCAAGGGATCTTTCATAAGTCGTTAGTCGGTTTTACGACCACTGCCAGGCCGAAAACACGCAGGAAAACAACAGATCATCTCTCCCTCTCGTGCAGTCACACTCTCTTGTATCTTGCTCCTGAATCCCCTAGGCCCCATGACTGTTAGTGGTACGACATATATATATAATATTTTAAATCTATTGTCACATTAGAGAATTAATAAAGACGAAATTAAGGATGAAAAGACATTTTTGTTCTCGTTGGACAAAAACGTAAGCAAATTCTTTTCACGCTAACGTTATAATATTATTTTGTTCTTGAGACAAAAGTACGTTTTTCCAGCTAACCTAAAAATAGCTAGAAGAAGATTCTTTCGAAAGGCTCAGGTCCCTAATGAAAACATTTAGTTCATTTTGGTCAAGTTGTAGAAAATTCGACAAAGAACCAACATAATCACTTTATATTGCAAGCGAAGTATTTATTATTTTTACACACACACACAAGCATTTATTATTTTACACTAGTATTAACAGAGTATCATTTTTATGTTTATATTTTACTACTTTGTAAACATCCCTCATTCCTTATCTTTTGTTTTATCATTCATAGTTTGTTCTTGCCTTAAATAAATTTCTGTCTCATCCTGAAGTTTGGTTTCTTAATTTTCCACACAGTTGGTCTTCCCAAATTTTCCACATTGCAATATTTTGTATAATATCTTGTAACATCAACATTATCACCATCAAAGTTGGGATAGTTCTGAGTGTGGAATTAGACGTATTGCAGAAGGCAGGTGTGTATGATCCTATTTGTTCTGATTGTCTATGTTGATAGCAACAATGGTGACAGCACAGAAATAGCAGTCGTTGTGTCGTCGCTTTGTCCTCTCTAAATCATTGACATTACGAACTTCTTCCATTCTTCTACAAGAGTGAATATACGATACAAGTTTTACAACACAATGTATAGCCCACGGTTTATCTTGACCTCCAAGTTTAACAAGAAATAAACAGTCTTTTTTTACAAATTGGGAAATTCGTTTCAGAAATCTTGCATGGTGTATTCGTCACATATGTAGCAAACCATATTAGGATGGTTAACCTAAAACTTCAGTTGGTTGACGCGACCCTAGAGAATTAAAATTTGCAAGTTCAACAAGCATCAGATATAAAATATTTTACGATGTTTATAGCACCGAAAGTGTTAAATGTTTCGTATAAAAATGAATTTATTTACACTATTTTTAAATTTCAATTCAATATTAATTAATGTTTGACACTTATTGCTACTAGTGTCACAATGTCTTCTTCGCTGTTTCGATTGATTTTCAAATAGAGTTGAATTCTAAACCATATATTTAACATATAAGTTCGCATCACTGTACCTTCAAAATGGTACTTTATAGGAAGAAAAGGTTTACATATTTGAAATCTCAACACATATTAAAACCCCTAGAACAGCTGTTAATTTCTTGACACAGAAATAATTTTGTCATAACAAAAAAATGGACATAGCGTGTAACTGTAAATAATAGATCGGCAGCTTGTCGAATGTTATGTACCTAAGCCCCGATAGATGGCGCGGGCTGTCAGCTCGGCAAGTGTTATGTACCTGAGCTCCGATAGATGGCGGGCACGCTAGGCGGGAAGTTTGTAAACAATAGCTGCCATCTTGAGGGGTGGAGCCGATCGCCAGCCGTTTGAGTCTTTGACATTACTTCCTTAATTTATCATTATTTTTATCCATTTAACTTAGTTTATCTATATATATATATTTTTTTATCCCTCAAACTATTTAACTATTTAAAGTCATCTAATAAATTATTATTATATTCTACATCAACTTCATTACTGTGACAATATTTCATGTTGGCTAGCGTGATATAAAATATACAGAAGGAGCTGGAGTTACGAACTCACCACCCTGTATAACCACGAACGTACATCTATAAAACAATGCTATTGAAAGTGGGAAATGCAGGTCGAGATATGTGTAAAAAAGTAAGTCTATATATAACCCGCTATATTCGAAAGAACCAGACCAATGGAAAATCCCCTCGACTTTTTTTTAAAGGCAAAGTAAATTGGAATGGGCGAAAATGCATTATTCAAAGCTACACAATTCAATCATTTTGCTTGAAGAGTTTTTCTAGGAGAATTTTTTTTTGTTCTCGCCTTTTCACGCAAATATTTGGCCAATACACACAATTTCATCAACTTTAGTGGTGTATATGGATGAATTTACAGTACTGGGTATACATATAGTTCATCACCAGAGCTGTATACCTCAGTTGCACAGACTCCATTCCCTACTTGTATCGATAGATAGATGACAAAGAGCGATCACATTTCTGACAAACATCTCAGCGACAAGATCAAACAGGACACTAGAGCAACCTCTCTAGAGCAACCACACCTTCAAATGAGACCAAGATATTTATTACTAGTCAAAAGGACCTGGGTTTTCGCCTAAGTTAATATCACACGGAAGAATTTTGTGCATTTGATAGAACTCTAGTAGTGAAACGACGTTTGAAAAGTTTTTCCTCAAATGTTTCTTTTGAACGAAAAATCGTAATTTATTTGTAACTTGTAAAGCGTCGTTTTATAATCATAAGCCGCATTATATTGTATTAATAATTAACTTTATATAATATTTACAAACGGAAAAATATGTCCAGGGTAGCCTAGTGGACATAGCTTCTGACCGGAACACTGTGGGTTCGATTCCCATCCCTGGATACTTTTATTTTACCGCTCATCATTACTCTTCACAATTCATCCTTTCATACTTATCCCTAGGATAGAAATAGTCGTTAATTCTCCTTAAAATAAATCAAGAATTTTCGTTCAAAAGAAAAAATTGCGGTAAAATTTGTCAAACGTCGTTTTACAATTATAAGCCGCATTATATTGTATTATATATAGCAATATGTAATAAATTCTTAATTTCCCCAAGAAGCCTCTGGGACCAAAATATTTTGATCGTAGAGGTACAGCCTGCACCACGTTGACAAAGGCCAACAGCTCGAAACGCATTCGTGGTTGGCTTTTATTGATTTATCAAGAAAATGTGTTATATCAGGGAGAAAGTTAGATCAACGTTTAGTTGATTTCTGTTCCACTAGATGGCGCCATCTAAAAAAAATCTAGTGAGCGGTCAGGATATGGCTATTTTGTTTTTAATATTAACACCTGACTCTATTTTTATATTATTTTCGCATATGTTAAAATTTATACTTGAAATATTGATGCAAATAGTATTATAATTGATATATATATATATAAATTTTAAAATATTTGCAGAATTTATTTATTCAGATAATGGGAGCCAAGCTTTCGCGCGGTCGCGCTTCATCAGGCCACTGGCTCCGCAAAGGCGTGCAACACACATACAATAAAGATTCACAGAAATACATTCTCAAAAAATCAAATATAAAAATAGTTTCCAGTTGTAAAGTTTTCAACTAGCAATAATCGCGCCTCGGAAGATCCTCATGGGCTACGATATCGCCTCTGCGCAAAGTTTCCAGTTGTAGAGGGTTTCAGTTTCAATGGGGGTGGGATTGTCTGTGTTGAATATGCTGGAACTGTAGGGGTAGATCTTCTGTTTATGTTGTCTTTGGAGATTGTAGATTCTAGAATATTGTATTTGGATAATGTGTTATGTGTGTGTGACATCTTGTAGGTCGAATTGATGACCTGTAGAAATTTCGTGCTGGAATATTAAGGATTTGTCATCTTGGTTTCTGATATTACGGCTATGTTCTTTAACTCTTATGTCTATTGATCTATGTAATAGGCGTTGCATTGTCGGCAGGAGATGGAGTATATGGCGTTCTGCTTGTTTCTCGACTCTGTATTATTATTGGATTTGGTTATGGGGTTTCTAATGATCTGGCCTATTATGGTTCGGGAATTTCTAAATAAGCATTTTATGCCATATTTCCTCGATTCATGGGATAATCTTTCATTAGCAGGTGAATATTGTAAATAACTATTTGCCCGGTTAATTGTTTGTTTTTAGGGAGGGATTGGTTGTAGAAATGTTTGTATATAGAATCTATTGAAAATACATTATTTCTTAGATTTTGGATGATTATTCGTTTCTCAATTTTCTTGAAAATTGGTAGAGAACAATGTTTTCATATTCGTTTAGTTAACGTTTTCACTATAGATATTTTGTGTCCTATTGGGCTGAATGATGTAATATTTAAATACGAAGGTTATATGCTGGGTTTATAGTAGACTGTGGAGTGGAATTTCTGTTCTGTTTTTAAAATGAGGATATCAAGAAAAGGTAACACCGATTTGGTTTCTAATTCCATAGTAAATTTGATTTGGGAGTTATATCTATTTAAAGCATTTAAAATTTGATGCTATTTTCCTTTTTGGAATTCGCAAAATACATCATCTATATACCTATACCATTTTCTTATACCTAATTCCTCAAAACTGTTGATCCATCAATCAGACATGACCGCCGCAATCAATGAAAGCGGGCTTCCCATAGGAGAGCCACATATCTGTGCCACATAAGCTTGATAAATAAAATAATTTTGGAAAGAAACCAAACCCTAAATTCCTTATTTATTTTATCAAAATATATTTAAAGAAGCGAATATCTGACATAGTCTCTGTTTAGAATGATTTATCATAGAATTAACAAGACACTGCGGTACAATCTTTCACAGGAGAATTCCTGAAAAACCTTGAGATTAATCGTTGAGCAGGAGTGCCAAGCAAGCATATTTCTTGGCTCGGCTGCTCAAAATTAAACATCGTCTGACAAAAATTTATCATCCACAGTCAATCGATCTGCAGTGGTGCTAAATCCAATTTCTGGGGTAAATTATTTTTAACGGCCTAATTTCCTTTCACATTCTATCTATATAAAATTGATTCCATTGCCGAATATATTCAAAATCTCATTCAGTATTTCTTTCTTTATTTCTTCATTTTCTTTTCGCTTTTAACAAAATCGACGTTTCAAGTTTTTCTTACAAAGATAAATTGGACGTCGCCAGAAAGTGTTTAAATTGGTTTAAATCGGTCCCAAGAAGTCTTTCAGATCTTTGGAATTTTCATAAACTTTTATTATTATTTTATTTCAATTTAAAGCGCTATGTCCCCCTAAGGACACTTGCGCTGTCATACATGTATGTCTTAACATTTGTCTATACATATATTTACAATAATTTTAGGTCGTGAATAGAATAGTCATATGATGTTAACAATGAGAAAGAGAGAAAAAACGAGAAAAAGAACTGTGTACAAAAGAAAGAAGTGTCTGGCAATATGTACAATCAACATAATATAAATTATCAATTTCTTAAAAGGTAGTTGTTGCTATATAATTTAAACTATATCTACAAAAGGTATTGAATTTAATATATATTTATTTATTGGAAATAAAAATACTTAGATCTGTTACTATTAAATTATTTTCGATTCTGTAGTTTTGAAAAACAGGACAAAATTATTAACTTTGCTCAGATTGTTTTTTTTTTTTCACATTTATAGAGAATTAAATGGTTGTTTTTTTTTATTTAAAAGATATGTATGTTTCGAATGAAGTAATAGATTATCAGACCACGTAAGAAATATATTTAAAACATTCGCGAAAATAAATCCATAGAGATTATAGAATCAGATTACATTCAATGAATATTGCAAGATTATTAAAAGGTTGTAGGAAAATTTCTGATAAGTAAAGGAGAAAGTGAATAGAGTAGTATGGCAAAGAACATTGGTATCACACAGAAATCTGTGTAATCTTTGCACAAGGGGATAAGAAACAACAATTTTGATAGCCACTGCTTGCATTTTAAATTATACAGTTAAACCTGTCTCTATAGCCCCTATTAACTGTACATTTAAATATAGGATATAAATCTATTCTAATATTGAAATGTATTTATAAATCAGTATCTTTAGGCGTTTATAGGTTTATGTACTCCTGTTAAAGGGCAGAAATACCCGAAAGCTCTAGATTACGTTAATAAAGATAAAAGAAACTCATCTCCAGAAATCTGTAACATTTGTTTAATTCAAAGTTATATATAAAGGAGGTATCAAGTACATTTGATAAAATATGTATAGCGAGGGATTATGTATTATGATGCATTAGCGCGCCATCTGTTATGAAAATTCGAAACTATTATAGACGTGTATGATTATTTTGAAAATATACAATTTCTACTGCCCTTACTGCAATGAAACTGCTGGCGAAACCGCTGGGAGGGTTCACCACTGATGAGCCAGGCCCTCCCATTAATATTTCCATTGCGGTAAGGGCAGTTGAAATTGTTTAATTTTTAAAAGAATCAGACGTGTCTATGATAGTTTCAAATTTTCAGGATTAAGTATGTACGGGATGTGTACATTGGGCGACGTGGCTGTGTAGCTGTTCCAGCCTTAAATATGCAAAATTGTTAGAATTTACTTTTGTTAATTATTGTTAAATTATGTAAATTTTAGAAATGTATATAATCTTGATTTTAGAAAATAAAGTGAGTTATTAAAGTATACGTGGTTGAGTCATTAGAGTTAGTGAGACGAGACAATAGCAGTTATTCAAGTTTGAATGAGTTATAGTTAGCTCGCTGAGTCAAGAAGCATATAATTAAAACCAGCGTTAAAATAAGAATTAGGCGGTGATTCCTCCTTAGTGCCAGGAGGCCAAAGCCAATTCGATTCATGGTCCCTCGATATCTGGATTAGGATTTGAAACAGAAGAAATTTAGCAAAAACTCAGTGAGAATACAATTGCGAAATGTCTCGAGACGAAAGGATCCTCCAAAGAAAGTTAAGTTACCAGATAAGGAGAATTGATGGATTTATTGAAACTGTGGATTCAATTATTGAGGCAGGTGAAACAATACGCTTAGAAATAATGGGTGAAGAATTAAAGGAGATCAAAGAAAAAATTGAGAAACTCTACGATGAGCTGTTTTCTTTGGATGAAGTTGATATAGATAAAGAAAGTGAGGCATGTGATAGTTAATGAACAAGATTGGAAGCTTGAGGGTAAAAATAGAAAATGAAAGAAAACTCAAAGACAAACTGGCGGACATAAAGCCAAATGGCTCTCAGGCAAATATAAAATTGCCTCAATTTGACTTGCCGATATATGATGGAGATATGGGCACTTGAATCAACTTCAAAGAGCTATTCCTCACCACCATCGATGCACATCCAGGGTTAACTAATATACAGAAGTTACAATATTTGAATTCTGCAGTAAAAGGCGAAGCGGCCAGATTAATAAGGGGTTTCCCTTTACTAAGTGAAAATTATGGCCAAGCATGGAGTACACTGTTATCAAGATATGATAACCCGAGAGAGCTAGCTTATGCCCAGGTGTCAAAAATCTTTTCTCTCCGGGCAATTAAGAATCCATCGGCTAAGTGTCTCCATGAATTCATGGATGTTTGTAATGAAGCCATAAGAAACTTAGAAACGCTGGAATTGAAAAGAAATCAATTTGTGGATGTGATCCTGGTGCACTTCCTCCAGCAGAAATTGAGTGAAAATCTAAGGTTGGATTGGGAACTGTCAATGGACAACACTCTTCCATCTTATGACAAGTTCATAGCATTCATTTCCAGACATGCGAGAAGCATGTCTTGTGCTGTCAAGGAATGTTCAAAAAGGGAAGAAACCACCGGATCGAGATTTCCCAAATGCCAAAGCTACGGGATGCTAATTGAGAAATCGGACACTTGCATATTATGCAAATC